GCCTGTGACCAAGGCGAACTCTGAAGGCGAACTTGGCTGCGTGGGAACCAGGGCAAACTCTGAGAAGTGCCAACCGGTGGCTCTCCAAAGCACTCTTCCCGACAGGCAATCCTCTTCCACATCCGATGCGAAACGGTACACAGAGCAGACGGTGGCGCAACGTGGCTTTCTTCACGTCACCGTCTGTAAAGAGAGCTCCGAGCTGGAAATCCACAGCTGCTTCTCAGAGCGACACTTCATGCTCTCCCATGCTTAAACAGGAAACACTTTCCTTCTGGAATGTTCTATCCATTGGTTACCCCCTACTCCAAAGTCAGTCCTCAATATTCTGCCCAACAGCGGGAGGGCGGCTGCTTAGCTTCACTGTGGTGCTTACGTTTGCCTCCCACCAGAAAGGTCACTTTCTTTTGATTCCCGGGAAAACGTGGCTCAGAGCACTCCTGAGCAATCACAAACTGCCACCGCGTCGAGCAAGCAGGCTCCCGGCGAGGACAGCCACTCCTCGGCAGCTCCATGTCTGCTCCGTGTTCTCACAGCCTCGCCGTCACTGAGAGCTCACTCCTTTCGGATGCTTTTCCAAGAACTGCCCTGCAGTCGGTTATAAGAGGATTTGCGCCACGTAAGGAGAATGCGTACTGGCAATCGCCGTCAGCAGAGGCAGGTCGTTAGATTCAATTCTGAGGGTTGGAAAAAAAAAATCAAGGAGAGCATTTTAAAATCACATCATTTCATAAGAAAGTATTATTTCTAGGCACCAGCTTCTTCTAGTCTAGACCATCTTTTAAAACCCATGAAAATGTAAATGAGGGCCAGCAAGATGGCGGCTGGTAAAAGTACTCGCGGTCAAGGCTGACGACCAGAGTTTCATCCCTGGGACCTACATGATGAAGGAGAGGACTGACTTCGGCAAGCTGTCCTGGCATACATGCACCCTGGCCCATGCATGCTCCTGCACACGTAGACACATGCACTAAATAAATAACACGTAAGGAAAAAGTGTGAGTAGACGATGAGTCAATAAAAAGACCTCCCAGAAGACACTGCTTCAAAAGGAGGTTAGTGCTAGAGAGTGGGGGAGAAGGCTGCCGCTCCTGCAGCAGGGGGCGTCCAGCTCAGCCAGGGGCCTTTCTTAGTCCCTGCATGACCATCGTCATGTTGTGCTGCTTTGTGGGTCCCTCGGCATCGCCTTCCTCGTGAAGGCGCACTGCGTTGGCACCTAACCTCAAATCAGAACCGCCAAGGCAGGTTCTTCAAACGATGGCTCTGTGACTTATGGGGCAGCTGAGCCACGCACGTGTGCTGAGGACAAAGGAAAACTAGCAAAGGTGTCATGACTTCAGAAGGACACGGTGTGGGCTGCCTCTTACCGCACAGTGGGCACCAGATGGCTTATGGCAAAGTGCTGAGGTGTGGAGTGGAGGGAAAGAAGTGGAGAGTTTCAGTTTGTGGAATAGATCCTTACCGTTTCTCTCAAAATTAAATTTTTTTTCCTAAGACTAAGAACGGCCTTTTGTCAGAGTCAGAGAGTAAGACTGAGTCCTTTAACCACTGGACCAGATTGAGCAATGGGAAATCTGAGGCAGGATTACACTATGAGGCTAACAAGGGAAAACAGCTGAAGGTTAACAGCAAAAGCGCAATGCCTCCAAACAGGAAAATATTTTTAAATGAATTGCCACCAAAGAATGTATGACCGGTGTGGCGGTGTGAATGAGAACAGTCCTCACAGGCTCACAGACTTGAAACCTTAGTCACCAGAGTGGCACTATTTGAAAGGATTAGAAGGACTAGGAGGAGTAGGCTTGTTGGAGGAGGCTTGTTGTGTCACTGGGCATGGGCTTTGAGGTTTTGAAGGCCCATGCCAGGCCTAGTCTCTCTGCCTACTGATCGGGATGTAGGACTCTCAGCTACTGCTCCAGCACCATGTCTGCCTGCATGCCGCCACGCTCCCTGCTGTGATGATAATGGACTAATCCTCTGAAACTGTCAGCCAGCCCCATTAAATGTTTTCCTTTACAAGAGGTGCCTTGGTCATAGTGTCCCTTCACAGCGATACAGCTTTTCTTATTGTCTCAGTCACTGCTCTAACTGTCACATCTAGCTGTAAAAGACAGAAAATCTGACAAGAACTCAAGGCCTAATGATTAAACCAATACTGTAAGAGCTGGACATGGCTCAGCAGTTAAGAGCACATGCTGCTCTTCCAAGACTGGAGTTCAGTCCCAGCACCCAGGCCAGGCAGTTCATAACTGCCTGTAACCCCAGCTTCAGGGATTAGATACCCCTCTCTTCTGGCCTCCAAGCACATCTGCAGCGTGCAAGTGCACACACATACACAAGAATAAATAATAAAATAGTAATAATAATAGTACTTTGAGAGGAGATATGGTGGCACATGCTTGTAATCCTAGCAGTAGAGAGACGGAAACCAAAGGACCCTGAATTTAAAGCCAGCATAAGGCTACAAAGTGATACCCCATCTCAAAAACTAACAACTCGTTCAAAAAGCAAAACAAAACTAATGAAATAAAACAATACTTTATCAGGCTTAGTAGAAAATTAAGGATGACATTACAGACATAGTATTTTCTTATTGCAAGTTAGCAGAATCACCCTCAGGGATATGGGGGGAAAATTCCTCCTAAGTGTAGTCTTTGTTATTTCTACACTGGAAATTAAAATGAAGCGGGTCAGAATTTCTTGTAGAGAAAGTGTGGCAAATGCCCTCAGAAGATGGCATGCATCCTTAGTAATGAATAAGCATTCTCTTGGGTGGGGTGAACGCAGGAGGTCCACAGGAAGTGCCTCCCACCTCCTCCACAATGAGACAAGCTGCCACTACCCCTGACAGCTTGTGACTTTTGCATTGTTACTGTGTCACTAGAGATGAAGAGGCAGAGTGAGATCAAATGTTGCTCCAGCCTACATCTGGCCATTCACTGGGGAGCAGCATGGGCACACACCTGAGTGACCCTGGGCACATTGAGAGTTATTGATCCTGTGGGTATAGAATGGCACAGGCCAATAAGTCGTGTGTGTGTGTGTGTGTGTGTGTGTGTGTGTGTGTGTGTGTGTGTGTGTAGAGAGAGAGAGAGACAGACAGACACACACACACAATGGTCCATACACCTGGGACAAAGGTCAGCCTTTCACAGAACTCACCCCAGCACCACACTCAGTTCTTTCACGTGCACACGTGTATGTCCCCGGAGATACTCGGAAAGCATTTTACTTTTAAGGTACATCTCCTGTAGTCTGTCTTCCAGATGCATGATGCACTGCAAAGTCAACAGCATTCACAATGAGAACTACAATTTCAGCATCTTCAAGAGTTGGGCTTCTCCTTCTTCACTTCTACAGCACCAGCTATAACCACTTTCTTTTCAAATAAACCCCCCAAACTACCAGCTTAAGTTTTTTATAACATGGTTATTAACATTTTTATATAATATCATCCTAGTATCTTTAAAGAAAAACCTTTTACAGAGTTGAAATCATTCCATAAGCATGAACATGCCTTGTCTTTTTGGCTTTTAAATTGTCAACTCTTTATTCTTGGAACCAGTCTGGGAGTCAATACCATCATCATTTTAGCTCTCTTGAAAGCCATATTCCTCCTTACATGTATCAAAACCCTACTGAACAGTGAGCTCTGAGTTGAAAAACGAATTTATTTTTGTACTCATCTTTATGTCTTTGTTCACAAAATTTCTTGTTAAGAAACTTGCCAATAATCTCATATTTAAGAATTCCTTACTATACCATTTTTATGGCTAATGCTTTAAAGAATGTTAACTTACTATTATTTACTTAACCATGAGGCAATCTACATTTGGGCTATAATTTTGTGAAAAATGTTTTAGTTCTTGTTTTCTTTCTATACCTCAGATTTATCTGGCATAATACATTCCCAGAAGCAGAATGATTGAACAAGGTCACTTCAGACTTCTATTTTGCTTTTGAGAGCATCCTTTAACTAGGTCTTTAATAACAAAAGGAGACAATTATTTGGGGGACATGTTCTCCCTTGGAACTGTGTTTAGCTTTGGTGGTTAGAGAACTGTGGCCATCGATTTGTGTCTTTCACCAGTAGCAAATGTTTTTGCATTTGGCAGACAGTGGCCTCAAAGTCTCTGAGAGACATCCGATGGCTTTGGGAGGGTAATTCCATCATACATAATTTCCTTCTACACCATTAGGCCTCTTATTTCCAAGGTAAAAAGATTAACAGATGCAATTGAGAATGTTGATTCTGTCCATCTGGGTTGATCAGTGATGGGGGAAAGTGTCCGTGAGGAATGGACACTTTTCAGTTTCTCACTGGCTAGCATTTTAGGTGCACTATGCTGGAATGAACCACAACTGCCTGTAAGAACTACTCAAGGCGGGGGATGACACCAATCTCAGAACCGTTCCCCTAAGTAAGCGGAGGTAAACGGCAGAGGGATTGCCTACCGAGTTTTGGTTCATTGTGGAGTGAAATACAAAGTTTTTAAATAAGAGTTACAAGACACCAAGAAACATTCAAATTATATTGAATTCTTTATGTCTAAAAGTGGCTTATGTATAGTGTTTTCAGTCCACAGAAAAAATGTACGATGCAATGTTGGGTCTAGAAATACACGCTAAATGTAGGAAAAAATACATTTACAAAAACTTGATGTTTAAAGCCTCATACTCAAATAGGATTATGTTAGTGGTTTCTCCTTCTTTGTAGGATTTTACTCCTGAGAGGATACTATTTTCAACTTTAAAATTTGAATTATTGTCTTCTGTGTACGAGTCCCTTGGGTATTTTCACGTAAGCCATGCTTAGATGGAGTTCTCTTGGATCTTGGTTCTGCTGGGTTACGTAAGGCATTCATGTATTACTAAGTAGTTATGTATACCTCTACCAGATGTCAGACAATGAGCACAATGTCTTAGAGAATCCGGTGTCAGCATCTGTACAGACAGCAGCCAACCACCATGGGGTCTAATGTCTCCTCCTTCCCTTACAGAAAAGGAAACTCAAGCCCCAGAGTAAGAAAAAATCAGAGTGCTTCTAGGAGAAAAGAAGATCATAATAGCCCTGAGTACTTCTGCTACCCCTGGGGACAGACATCCTGCAAGAGCATGCTTCAGTTAAGGGCCAAATAAAGACTTGTATGAAAGGCATTGCCAGTTTTACACCATAATACTGTCTGTCACTGACACATTCCAATAAATACCTGTTCACTGGTGTTCCAAGTGCTTCACATGTATTAACTAATTTTCCTAAGCATATGAAGCAGATTCTTTTTGTTTTTTGGTTTTTCAAGACAAGGTTTCTCTATGTAGCCTTGGCTGTCCTGAAACTCGCTCTCTAGAGCAGGCTGGCCTCGAACTCACAGAGATCCGCCTGCCTCTGCCAGCGCCCAGCCTGAAGCAGATTCTATGGTTCCACCAGATGTACAGGTTACACGGCCCCTAAGTAGAACTGGAACTGGCTCTCCTGCCCATCCGCTGATATGCTAAGTGGCTCTTACAGCCCCCTGTGCTGGTGTGGCCAGTCTGAAGAGCGGCACCTTCTCTCTGGTTCTCAGAGCATTCTCACAACAGGCCTGTACTGTCTTCATGCTGCAAACAAGAAACCTGAGCTCCAGAGACACTCAGAATCCGCCACCACAGAAGGGATGTCCCAAGGTCTTCCTCCTCTACTACACTGCCACTGCTTTCCCAACCATCCCTCAGAACACCGACATCAGAGTCTTCACTGTGTGTGGAGAGGGGTGCAACTGAGGATTTGGCCGTGAGAGTACAGACAGAGGACCAGAGAACTGGGAATCCGTGTATGAACGGATCCCCAGCTTCCCGTTTGGCTATTATACAGCTCTGTGCCGTTTCCTGAGACAAGGAGGGAGACAGGAATTTGAACTCAGGCTTGGCTGCAAAGAGTAACCCTGCACAGAAGGGGAGGAAGCAGGAAAGGCCGGCACTTCCACACAGCCTGTGTCCCCAAGGCCAGCACAACCTGGCTGCTCAGCTACATGCCTTTCATTCCTCTCCTTGTCGAACTTTTCTTTCTCACTTTCTGAATATCTCTTTCAACCTCTCTGTACACTTAGCACGTATCAAAAGGAATGTTACGTACATCCCACTGGCTAGGGGAGTGCTGGTAATAATTTTCTAGGACTTTCTAGGCTGCTTTTAATTTCTGCTTAAAATGTTACAAAAGTGATCATAGATCCCCCTTGGAAAGGAACAACTGACGACACCACGTTTTAAGTTCTTACCAAGTTCTCTCAAATTTGAACGGCTTCCATTCACCTGTGACGGGCTGTGAGGACGCTCACAAAACAGAAGAAACTACAATCCCCTCAGAAACTGGCCTTTCTCGGATCCGTCTGTAAGTTCTCTGACGAAGGATTTTAAATTTCCTTTTAGGCTCAACTCCCTCTAATCTACTTTACTATCTGCTTTTTCTGATGATACTGTCCTCTGCTCCATCAAAGCTCTACCCTGTCTGTGGCTTTGATGATGCATGTTCCACTTTTCTTTAATACTAACCTTCAATATATTAAAAACAATTTGAATTTGTGATATTTATCATCAAAACAGTGAATAAAAGTTATCCTTTAATTACATATTTTTTTGATGATAAAAAGACCAAATACTTACAAAGTCAGCAGGAAGGTGAAGCTTATAGAGCTGTAAAATGGACTGAAGTAAACAAGACACCTGATTAGAGACCAAGACATCCTGGCCCAGCTTCATGGTGTCCATCACTTTCCTCTGACTCGTGGCCACCTGGACAGTCCATTTGTCCGTGTCTGCAATGATACAGACGGCCTCGGCTATGGGCTCATCAAGCACTGGATGCTGAAAGAGAGACGCAGTGGGTCAGTACTCTCCAGCTCAGAATGGACAGAGTGTTTTGTGTGCACACTGCAGAAGCGTGGAGCTTCACAGCTACCCAGAAAGGTGTGCCGCCGAAGCAGCACTTAGACTAATTAGCTAGGAGCTGTGAGATGGCTCACAGGGTAGAGCCTGAGAACCCAAGTTCAGTCCTGGGACCCATATGGGAGTCTGTTTCAAGCTGTCCTCTAATCCCCAAATGTGCTGTGCTATATGTGTACATACATGCATGCATGCATACACACACACACACACACACACACACACACACACACACACACACACACCCCAAGTAAGTTAATAACTTTAAAAAACTGGTTAAAATGACATTTTTCTTAAAGTCATTTTCATAAAAATCTGAAGGCACAGAAGAGTTCACAGATAAGTAAAAGGATATGCTTTCTTCACATTTCCAATCTTTATGAAAGACTGTGTTATTTAGAATGAGGAAAATCAAAATAAGGCAGAGGATCCCATTGCCATTTCTCCAATAACAAGATTAGTCAAGATAACATTATATCCATTAGGGGTTTGGGAGATAGCTCAGTCTTGTATGAGTAGAATGCATATTAAAAAAAAAAAAAAGCAGGGATGGTGGTGTACACCTAGAATCCCAGCCCTGGGGAGGTAGAAAAAGAAGTATCCTTGGGACACTGGCCAGCCAGCCGGCCTAGGCTAACTGGTGAGCGCCTGGTCCTAGTGCGAGACCCTGTCTCACAAAACAAGGTAGACAGGGCTGGAGAAACGGCTTAAAGGAGCTTTCTGCTCTTCCAAAGGATTGGCATGTGGTGCCCAGCACCTGCGAGGCAGCATACAACGGCTGTAATGACCTCTAGAGGATCTGATGCCCTCTTCTGGCCATGGTGGGTACCTGTACCTGTGTCCTAGGTACACACACACACACGTATGCACACATGCAGAGAGAGAGACAGACAAAGAAAGAGAGGAAAATAAATCTTAAAAAAAAAATACTAAAACAAGCACCACCACAAGGTGGACAGCCATCCTGAGGAACAACACACTTAAGGCTGACCCCTGGCCTCCACATACACATGCATATACGTGCACACACACACACCACCATCGGTTCCTTAAGGGAATAACTTTAATCATTCAGCAAAGTGTCTTTATTAACTGTGGTTATATACACCAATCATTTTTAATAATCTACTATAACCAGGCTAAGGACTTATCTAGATAAGTCCAAAAGGAAAAAGTGTGGCTACTGAGAAGTATACTTAAAATGTAAGATACTTTATAATAAACTGTATCATGGGGTATAAACATCTGTAACGATTAATCTCAGTTGTCAACGTGGTGAGATTTAGAGCATGCCTGCCAGGGATTGTCTTGAGTGGGACACTTGAGGAGGGAAGACTAACTCATGACGGGTGGCACCATTCCCTAGGCTGGGATCCTGGGCTATATAAAAAGGGAGACACTGAGCTGAATACAAGCGTTCATTATTCTCTGCGGTTTGTCCACAGAGACAATGTGAACGGCTGCACCCAGGCTCCTGCTGCTGTGACGTCACTGCAGTGATGGACCGTAACCTCCAACAGTCAGTCAAAACAAACCCTTCTATTCTAAGCTGGTTTGTCGGGGTATTTTTTATCACAGCAGCAGAAACAACTAAGACAACATCAAAGAACATGGCCTCAAAAACATCTCATCTCTTAAAACCCGGCTTTTTGTTCTGTAGTCGTTCTCAAGGCAATGAACTCAGAAGAAGTAAAGCGATCCAAGATGGAAACTTGGTTGTTCTCCGGGTACAGTAGCTGGGCTAGGGATTCATATGTGTAACAAAAGTTATCAGCAGGAGCTGACGGTAAAAGCCTCTCCATGGATGATCTTTATCCAAACCTCAAGTCTCACACTTGTTTCTTGGGTGGGACTTGACAGCAACATTCTACAGGATCCCATCAAGCTCTGACAACATATAGTCACGGGTTATGGAAAGCTTCCGACTGGTCGGACAGTTGTTTTTTTCATCTGGAGGTATTTCTCCTAAGTTTCTGGGGGATAATTTTGAGATTTATTGCTGTTTTGCTTTTTTTTTTGAGACATGGTTGGTATTCTATATTTACGTCCTCAGAAAGGCTGTTTTTCTCATTAGTTTACATTTAAAAATTGATCTCAAAATTTGGCAATACAGATATACATATGTAGATGTGATGTTTCATAATAGAATAACTACATTTAATTTTATCAAATTAATGATTATGTTTCTACCATGAAGAAATTATTCCTTAGAAATACCAATCATGATGTTCTATTACAGTGTGGAATTTTCCTAGCCATATCCAAGTGTCCTATGGGTCATCTGACTGATACACATCCATCACTTTATGTTGGGAGGGCACTGGTATACTATTTGGAAGTTTGTTTTTTTGACTTTTCTGGATCTCTTTTGTCTTGTTTATTGACGTAATTTACACAGGTTAAAATTCACTAATTATATATGACAACTGGATGAGTTAATTAATTATGTATTGGAAGTATTTGCAGGACCCACAGCAGTTCCAGTTCCTTTGTAGTCAGTCCTTGTAATACCCCAACAACCATTAACATGCCTTCTAGAACTACTGTTCTGACTCTTGTAGAATTTCATATAAGATCACATGGTCCATAGTTTTTTGTATCTGGCTTTTTTAAAAATAGTACTTTTGAGGTATATTCTATTTTAGTTCCTTATTTTTATTTTTGAGCATCCTCTTATAAGAATACAGCACCATTTGTTTATCCAGAGATGGCGTAACTGTATTGCTCTTGTGGACCCAGGTTTGGTTCTTGGTTGTAAACTACTACATGGCAGTTTACAATTGTCTGTACTCCAGTTCTAGGGAACATAACATGCTCTCTAGACACCAGGCATGCATGTGGTACACATGCAGACAAACACCTATCCATATAAAATAAAAAATCTTGAGAGAGATTGTTTCTAATGTTTGGCCACAAAGAACAAAAGGGCTGTGAGCGCTCATATTTACAAATCTTGGTATGCACATGATTTTATTTCTCTGAATAAATGCTGAGGAGCGGAGATGCTGGTTCATGTGATAAATGCATGCTTAACTTTTTAAGAACATGGTTTTCCAAAGTGGCTCCATCGCCATCAGCCACACATTACAGCTTCTGTTATTCCATAACCATCCTGGTCTCGGACTGTATGTTTTTAATTGTAGCCATTACAGAGGGTGTGTAGTAGTTTAAATTTGCATTTCCTGATGAATAATGAAACAGTACATTTTCATATGTTTGTTTCTATGGTTTAAAAAACAAAACAAAATGATCAAAAAGTGACTGCTTCGCCAGCAGCACCTTCTGACATACTCCAGTATCCTGCAAGCACATGAGGAGGGCATCTCAACAGCACAGCTATCATAGGCCCGTGCTCCTCGGCCCCCAATCAAGAGTAGGAGGATGAGGGCGAGTTTCCAGAGAAACAGCAGTAGCACCCACTGCAAGGCCAATGCTGTGAGCACACTTTTCTAACTCATTTCCCAAAGGAAACCCAGTACTGGCCGCCTTCTGTCTTTATTTAATCCCATCCAGCATCCTGTGCTGACCATTTGTTGCTCTGAGCTGCTTAGCTGAAGTTCCAAGAAATTCATCCTAACTTCCTTCTGGATAAGGCCTGGCGAGTCAGTCTGTGTAAGCAAGCTCCCTCCTGTGTCAGGAATGCAATGCGGACCAGTCCTTCATCCCTGGCCACACGCCAGCATACCGCCAGCATACCGTGTTGAATGCATGCCAATCACATTCCCAGAGAACCCAGTTTAAAAATATTTCTGTGAGACAGGCTACTACCGTTGCCTGAATGATGGGATTCTAACGTGTGCCACCACGCTCAGCTTAAAAAATCTAGTCATTAAAACATGGATTTGAGCCAGGCGGTGGTGGCGCACGCCTTTAATCCCAGCACTCGGGAGGCAGAGCCAGGCGGATCTCTGTGAGTTCGAGGCCAGCCTGGACTACCAAGTGAGTTCCAGGAAAGGCGCAAAGCTACACAGAGAAACCCTGTCTCGAAAAACCAAAAAAAAAAAAAAAAAAAAAAAACATGGATTTGCAGGTGATTTGGGTCCCGGGTTCAAACTGACCCCAGCTTCCTATATGATCTCCCTGCTGCAGAGAAAGGGAGGGATGGTGTGTTGGTCCAAATGCCCAAGAGTCTGCATGGCGCCACCATCAATGGGAAGAGAGCTTTCAAGCAATGAAGAAGAAAGTGCAATCAGAAGGTTGCAGCAACATACATGGCCAGGACGGGCAGGGGAGTTGGTAGTATAAAATGAAAGTGACTCATTGAGAAAAAGAAACGCGAGGGAAGAACATGGGAAGTCTGAGTCCCTTTAGGTCATGGGAGCAAGGAGGAAGAACAGAGGCCGAGGCACAGGATCTGTGAGTGAGCAGTTTCCTCAGACTTCCTCCCTAGCACAGGAGCAGGCATGTGAGAAACAGTACTTCCTGAATTAAAGTAACAGGTTGTGCACAGGGAAATAAATGATGGAGTCCTGGCATCTTGCTCCCCCTAACAGCATGGGTTGGCTGTTACGTATAGACTCCAGCAACAGAAGAATGTTGAACACTTTCAGAAAAGTGCCTTAAAAACACTCCAAGAATTAGATACTCTAAGACTAAATACTTTACACTCAGTCCGTAAATATTTCTGTAGAGTTAGCAGCATGCATCCACTGCCAGCCATCACCTAGAACCTGCTTACTTATTTGCAGGTGAACAGGAGGGATCTTCTAAAGGA